TCGAAATGAGATCATCCGATGTCGTATTCAAAATTTAAGTCAATCTTCGTGACTCGGTTGATTTAGTAAGCCTGAAAAACACTGAAGACTTGTATGTTTTTTTCTATTCATATTTTGGACTTGAGTCGTGAACGAGAATTGTGTATTTCTGCATAAGGAATCTATTGCAACTCGAAATGAGATCATGCGATGTCGTATTCAAATTTTAAGCCAAGCTTCGTGACTCGGTTGATTTAATAAGCCTGAAAAATACTGAAGACTTGTATGTTTTGTTGTATTCATAATTTGGACTTGAGTTGTGAACGAGAATTGTGTATTTTTGCATAGGGAACTCATTGCAACTTGAAATGAGATCATGCGATGTTGTATTCAAAATTTAAGCCAATCTTCGTGACTCGGTTGATTTACTAATCCTGAAAAACACTGAAGACTTGTATGGTTTGATTTATTCATAATTTGGACTTGAGCGTGAACGAGAATTGTGTATTTTTGCATAGGGAACCTATTGCAACTCGAAATGAGATCATCCGATGTCGTATTCAAAATTTAAGTCAATCTTCGTGACTCGGTTGATTTAGTAAGCCTGTAAAACACTGAAGACTTGTATGTTCTTTTCTATTCATATTTTGGACTTGAGTCGTGAACGAGAATTGGGTATTCTTGCATAGGGAACCCATTGCAACTCGAAATGAGATCATCCGATGACGTATTCAAAATTTAAGCCAATCTTCGTGGATCGGTTGATTTAGTAAGCCTGAAAAACACTGAAGACTTGTATGTTGTTTTCTATTCATAATTTGGACTTGATTCGTTGACGAGAACTGTGTATTTTTCCATAGGGAACCCATTGCAACTCCAAAATGAGATCATCCGATGTCGTATTCAAAATTTAAGTCAATCTTTGTAACTCGGTTGATTCAGTAAGTCTGAAAAACACTGGAGACTTGTATGTTTTTTTCTATTCATAATTTGGACTTTAGTCGTGAACGAGAATTGTGTATTTTTTCATAGGGAAGCCATTGTAACTCGAAATGAGATCATCTGATGTCGTATTCAAAATATAAGTCAATATTTGTGACTCGGTTGATTTGGTAAGCCTGAAAAACACTCGAGACTTCTATATTTTGTTTTATTCATATTTTGGACTTGAGTCGTGATCGAGAATTGTGTATTTTTGCATAGGGAACCCATTGCAACTCGAAATGAAATCATCCGATGACGTATTCAAAATTTAAGCCAATCTTCGTGGCTCGGTTGATTTAGTAAGTCTGAAAACACTGGAGACTTGTATGTTGTTTTCTATTCATAATTTGGACTTGAGTCGTGAACGAGAATTGTGTATTTTTGCATAGGCAACCCATTGCAACTCGAAATGAGATCATGCAATGTCGTACACAATTCTCGTTCACGGCTCAAGTCGAAATTATGAATAGAAAAAAACAAACAAGTCTCCAGTGTTTTCACGCTTACGAAATCAACTGAGTCACGGAGAATGACTTAAATTTTGAATACGACATCGGATGATCTCATTTCGAGTTGCAATGGGTTCCCTATGCAAAAATACACAATTTTCGTTCACGACTCAAGTCCAAAATATGAATAGAAAAAACATACAAGTCTCTGGTGTTTTTGAGGCTTACTAAATCAACAGTGTCACGAAGATTGGTTTGAATTTTGAATACGACATCGGATGATATCATTTCGAGTTGCAATGGGTTCCTTATGCAAAAAAACACAATTCTCGTTTACGACTCAAGTCCAAATTATGAATAGAAAAAACATACAAGTCTCCAGTGCTTTCAGGCTTTCTAAATCAACCGAGTCACGAGGATTGACTTAAATTTTGAATACGACATCGGATGATCTCATTTAGAGTTGCAATGGGTTTCTTATGCAAAAATACACGATTCTCGTTCACGACTCAAGTCCAAATTATGAATAGAAAAGAGCATAAAAGTCTTAAGTGCTTTGAGGCTTACTAAATCAACCGAGTACGAAGATTGGCTTAAACTTTGAATACGACATCGTATGATCTCATTTCAAGGTTCAATGGGTTCCCTATTATTAAATGTTTATTTCACGCATATAATACCTATTATATGCGTGAAATACGATGTATGTCACGAACATTATTGACATAAGCTCATTTTTCTCTAGATTGGATCTCTAATATGATGTTATACGATGACATAGTATCAATGTCCAAATAAATCACATATTTGCCGGTTATTATTTGTTTTGGATGAAAGGTAAGTATATTATAATCCAAAATAGCATTTACAATGCAACAAAATGAACTCAAAAGCTAACTAAATCAAAACAAGACTAGCTAACCAAAAGTACCAAACGGGACATGCCCCGCTTCAAATAACATCAAAGTAACAAACTTGGACAGGCCCAAAAGTGCCTGCCCAGTAACGAGTCAATCCCTCTCGTAAGGGGCTGTCCACCAAGCCAATTAAGGCCCATAGGCCAGCAAAACCTGATCCAAAGTACTCAAGAACCAGAGGTCCATCAAAACAAGGCCAAGGTCCGAACCATTTAAGGCCCATAACCTGTCTTGCGAAGTCCAGCAAAGCAGTCTTCAGCAAAGCCCAGATCATTTGCCTCCTACCTGCACCATCCACAGCTCCGCATGGGGAATGCATCCTAGCCCAAAGCAAACATCGAAGCCCAAATCAGCCATCCCATTGAAGTTGTCCGCATCCAAACTGGCTAAGCAGGCTAGGGTTTGAAACAGTCCATCCAGGTCGGCCCACCATCGCTAACTTCCTAGCGCCGCACACCATGTGCAAGCACAGTAACGGTCGAGTCAACGACAGCCTGGCCAACAGTGGCCGCCCATCAGTCAACCCAACCCCCTCCACACCGACCACCCCACCTAGCTCCGGCAACGATTAGGCAGTCCGGTGGCCGGAGAATGGATTCAAAAGTAACCAGCCGGAAATAAAAGCCAAACCTTTCATCCTCCCACAGTCTGCGCCCCCACCGAGCCCCGGTGACCCCCGGCGGCAACGGCAGAAAACTAAAGAAGGAGGTTCAACAGTAGCCGGGAAATCCCCAAACCATTAAGGTAAACCAAGTCCACCCCGGAGAGTTTTCCGGTCATCCTCTCCGGCAACATCAAAGTAATTCATAAAACCAGACCCGGATGCAACCACACCGAACCAAATCGCAGTAATCAAACCCCAAGCAAGATGACGATACCCATGGTACATATATGGTCCAAAACCAGAGAGCCACGCTGGAACCAGAGTAAACAGCAGCCTTACCTAGTTACCTTTCCGGCCTGAAGCAAACAACCCAGGATCGTCTATAATCTGCAGCAAGTTTCTTCCTTGTTCATTATATTATGGTAACAATAGCCGCGACCAATAAGCAAAAACTCATGGCCAGTGGGCTTCACCCACAGTAGAACCACGAACCTCACCAAGCTTTCCCACCAGAGTGGGATATGGTGTTCCAAAAAAATCACAGTAGCCTTTGAGACCCACCGGAGCCGAGAGGGCTCCAGCGTTGGCCACCACCGTGAGTGGTGGTGCCGGACCAGGGGAAGGGGGAAGAGAGAGAAACTAGGAGAAGCCTAGCGAGAGAAAGCTATCAACGCTCTCAACAACCCTGCACCCTTTTTTTTATATTTGCCGGTTATTATTCACGAGATCATCCGATGTCGTGAGTTACAAGCCTTTGAGGGAAATCCGACATATTTAGGGAGACCCATTGCAATGGGCGAATAGTGATTTACACCGAGTTATGAGAATACTGAAATATGCGATGTCGTATTTTGATCTCATCAAGTAAGCCTATGCTATAATTTGGACTCATTTTGAGATTACACCCATAAATTAAATGTTGGACACTGAATGAGATCAGTGTCAATAAACCCTGATCAGTGTATACGACAATACAATGGGTTTGTTTGATTTAATAACATGATGAATACCAATTTAGAGTTGGTATTGAAACTTCAACTTGTAAGTAACTGAGTCACGAAGATTGACTTAAATTTTGAAGATAGACACCATCGTTCCTACCTAATATGAATTAATGAGATTGACTTATTAGTTTCGAGTATCCAATTACCTGAAATACGTAATTGGGACATCCGTTTAAATTGATTGTATATTAGGATGACTATTTTAGGAGAACAAAATGAGGTATATTTTGATCAACTCGGAGCATAAGAACTTGTGTATATTTAGTGTAACAAGTCCATATTATTGGTCTAATGAGTCCCTATGAGATCAACTACAATTATGTGATACTGGGTTAAATTACGACTCATACATTCAGGCCAACGGATGATCTCAAGAACTGAGTATTAACTACTACGTATATGTGTAACACCGTCCCCAAATATATTTACTTTTATGTAAATAATGTATTGAACCTTCTTAAAGAATTAATGAATTTACGAAGTTGTAAATTTTTATTATTTCTTTCGCGTGAATAGTAAATTGCACGTGGGACCCACACCGGGAGCGGGGACCGCCCGACACTCCCGAGACCACATATTTTATTCATCTTAGTCAAGATAATATTTATATAGTGGTGGATATTTTATTTGGGTCGTGGAAAGGCGCAGAGTTGACCGATTGGGAAAAAGAGGTCCAATTACCGGTACCGATAATTTGTCAGATAACAGCCCGAACTGAATTTCGGAGGCTTATAAATTAAAGTTGGGGGATGTATATTCATTATACATGTAATAATGAGTAAGAGCACATAATATATTTTATTTGACCCGATAAAATAAAATATATTTAAAACAGTCCGAAAAATACAACTTTCGGGACCAATTGTACACACCGGGACACAAAGGGATGACCTCCCACATGAGTGGGGGCCACCCCACGTTTTTGTGTGCTCAAATTGACCAAAGGAAGGCCAATAGTACACATGATGGGAGGGTGAGACATTGAGAGACACCCAAGGGGTCCCTCTCTCACTTATTAGCTAAATGAGACAAAAACAACCCATCCCCCCTCCTTCCTCCTCATTGTGCTCGCCCAAGACCCCAAGAAAGAGGAAGAAAAAGCTCTCCAACCCTCCTCCATTGCTGCAACTCGAGCTCAACCAAGAAGGGTCCAAGGAGTGGGATTAAAGAAGGAAAAAGGCTAGGAAAAGTGTGTAAAATTAAGGTAATAACCTTATTATAACTTTTCCTTTATTTTCCTTCTATCATATGAGGTATATATCATGTAAAGGACCCTTAGTATGATTCCACATGTTATAAGTATGGATTTATGGGTTGGAAGGTGGTTCTATGTCCAAGAACGGACTTAGAAGCCAAAACGACCGGTTCACCGGAAAATAACCTTTTTGAGGTTATTGGTATTAACATGGGTTTTATGATTATAAAACCTTGTTAGGAACTTGTAAAGGGTGTTTCAAGTGATTTCACAAAGTTGGAAAAGTCGCCGGAATTGTCGCCGGAGTTGACCAAAAGTCGCCGGAGTTTCACCGGAGTTCAACCAAGAAGGGTAGAACTTCATACGCTAGTTCAAGGTGAGTGGACGGCTTAATATCTTATAACGTTTGGGTCAATTATGAGATTACCTAAATAAATGTTATATGAATTCATAATAATGTTTAAAAGATATTTAAACATGTGATTAGCCAATAGGGTTGAGCTTTGTATGAAAGGAATTAATTATTTATGCATGGAATATAATATGAGAAATTATATATATATATATGCATATTTGCTTTAAGAGTAAACGAAGCACAAATGGATATTATTAACTTAATTATATGATGAATTAGTTAATAAGTGTAAGATTTGAGATGGCGGTCGACAACAACGTTGACCGATGGTTAATGGATTAATTAATATCGGTTGATGTTAGTTAATTATACATTTATATGGTTGCATGGATTTGCATGGATTGTGATGCATAAGCCCACTACTAGAAAAATGCCTTACAGTGACACTTTTATAGTGACACTTTTTGATAAAATACCATTAATGACACACAAGTGTCATTGATTTCTAACACAAAAATTTTACAGCCGAATAGCGACACTTATTTTTTTTCAATACGGAAGGGTTCACTTATTGGGCCGGCTGGGTGTGAGCAAAGTTTTTTTTAAACGCCCAACACATAGGTTTTTTTCACATACCCACTTTACTCCCGATCGATTTTCTTCAATTCGAGAGCTCTACTCGCACTAACCCTATACTTCAAGATCCGTCTTCTCCATCTTCTGCCAGACCAGAGATGGATCGATTTACTCCATCGTTGCCTTACTCCATCACTGTACTCCATCGCGACGGTCGACGATATCATCGAGGACGTAGATCCAGCAGAAACGGTCGATGATTTCGAGCCTGGAAGAGTCCCAGACGGTGTGTGGCCGTCGTTCTTGGTCCGGCCGAGTGACATCGCACGTCTCCTCGCTGGTTCTTCTTCATCAGCGATTATCATCTATTCCAGGTATGTAATTTTTCCTTCATCTTTCCTCCCTAGCTTAGGTCATCCTTCAACAATATCATCTAATTTGGTTTAGTTTTAATCGGAAATTGATAAACTTCACCAATAATGTGGTTGTTCTTGTTCATAGCAACCTGCCCCCCGACCTAGCTAATTGACAGACTAAGTCGATGATTTTTCTCCTTTTGGGAATACCAGCCGATGAACGGAGATGGTAGCCAGCAGGTACTCGATCTTTAACTTGACACCTCTTATCTTTACTTCCTTTAATTTTAATTTGTAGTTTTTTAACCTAAAAATGAGGCCATTTTGAAACCAAAACTGATTTTTCAGAATATATACCATAACCTTAAATCTATTTACAGAATGAGGAGTAGATGTTGTTGGTTACTAACTAGCAGCAGGAAAAAGAAGGTTAGGTGCTTTGTAAGTCTTGTGAGGAGGAAGGTGCAGCTGATTTTTGCCAGTGAGAAGGATGACCTCTGTACTGGTGCAGCCTCACATGGGCAGGTTGATTAATTTCATGTATTGGCAGAATTCTCAAAGCTGCTTTTAATTAACTTGAAGTAGAAATTAGCATGTATGAATTTCGATTTTTACTAGTGATTGTATTATTTGTGAATTGTTGATGACTAGAGCAGTATACTCTAGTCACAATGACTAAAGTATTTTGTATTTTTAATTAACCTGGGGTATATTCTCAGCTTTGTAAAGTTTAACGATGCATCTGAAGATGGACGAACCATGTTGCTGCAACAAACAATTCAACAATCAATGAACTCGCTGCCGCATCAAACCATTGGTTTGTTCTTTATCGGTTTTTCATGCTTCTAGAAAACTTAAAGCCATAAAGGGTTGTGTGTACGTGATTATAAAGAGTTTCCATGAATTAGTCAAAGCTTCAATGGTGTCTTGGAGATTTTGTAAGTTGTTTATAAAACTAAATTGTCACCTTCTACTTGATGTTTGATGTTTGATGTTTCTGCTTCAATTTGTGTTTCCTAGATACATAAAGTTTGATTAGAAGTTAAACCAAGGAATATATACAATAACAATTGGCAAAACTATGCAAACATTATAGCATTAACTTGATGTTACGTAGACATAATCATGATTCTTAATTTATCTTTGAGAAAAAATAAGAGATGGAGTGTGACTTATATTTCATTTACAATAATAGTTGACTTTGCTACTTGAAAAGGCATAGGTTGAAAAAAACTAAGAGTTGGGCTGTGATTTTTATTCCATTTTTTATCAGTTTCTCTACCTTCCTATCTTATATACATTGTTTTAGCACACTTTCTTTTATTTTAACTTGTGTTTTGTTGTTTTGACTTATGCTTGAAGGGGGCTGCACACTTCAACTTGAATTTAGGTGATCTCTTCTTGGAAACCTCTATTTACCAGATTATCTTCTTTATTTTTTTGAGAACCTCCTTCAATTTGACTGATAAAGAGCACATTTTTCTCATTTTAATGAAAACCATATCTGGCACGCTGGCACGCTGGCATGCTGGCACTGATGCCTAAGTTTGCTTCAGTTACCGAATCTTTGTGGTGCATGACATTTGTATTCGTTGACCATTGGTTCAAATATACTCAACCATGTGAAAACATATACTATTAATATATTCTTGTGATTGTAATGCCATGCAGCCCTGACAAGACCCTATCAATGTTTTAAAACTAGGCTGGACCAGCTGGTTGGATTGGTTACTAGAGGTACCTGGTCAAGTAAGATGTTAGATTGTTGTGTTATTAAACCACTTGAAAGTGGAACCACATGACTGGGTAAATAACTGAACCAGTGAATTATGCTTCTGTTGACGCGGTTCAATACTTTTTCCTTATCAAGGAAAGCAGTTACAACCTCTATTTACCATTATGTATGTTTACATAATCTGATTTGTAATTCATAATTTCTAGTGTACGTACACTTTGCAGGTGATGGTAAGAGGTTAGGTGAAGCCTGAAGTAATGTGGGGGGAAGTGGCCGGAACGTCTTCATACCCAAACCACTTAGACTAATCGCCGGATCACTCCAGAAAAGTCTCTCATATTCGCAGGGAGGATAAGTATGAATTGGCGGCCTGTGAACTTTCTATCTCAATGTTAGCAATTAATTGTTTGCAAGGCGCAAACCGATAGAAAACGAAGGATCTTGTTCTTCATTCGGAATTGAATTCTTCCTTTCCAGCATTCCAAGCTTTCATGTCAAAGACAAACATGGCTTCTTCACATTCAACTGAAAACTGCCTTGGATGGGCTGCCAGAGACCCATCCGGAGTTCTTTCTCCTTACAATTTAAGCCGCAGGGTTACCGGGAGTGATGATGTTTCGCTAGATATTTCCTATTGTGGCATTTGCTATGCTGATGTGGCGTGGACAAGGAGTCTTCATGGGCCTTCCAAGTATCCTTTAGTGCCTGGACATGAGATTGTAGGAATTGTGAAAGAGGTTGGCTCCAACATCCAGTGCTTTAAAGTGGGTGATGCTGTGGGAGTTGGAACTTACGTCAACTCATGCAGGGAGTGTGAGTACTGTTAGGAAGGGTTAGAAAATGAGTGTTCAAAGGGATGATACTCAAGTTACTAAGGGAGGATACTCAAGTTACATTGTTGTTCATGAAAGGTACTGCTACAAAATTCCCGAAAGCTACCCTCTTGTAATGGAAGTTCAATAAAAGGCCATCATATAGTCTTGATTGATGAAAAAAAACACTTTGCAGGTGATGACTTAATTTTGTGCAGCATAAAATGTGATGTCTAAGTATATTAGAAGAAATGTGAAGGCCCTATGAAGAATGGTGTAAAAGTTACACTTGTTTGCGTTTTGTTCTTTATTACTTATGAATTATGTAGTATGTACAAGTTCAACAACAATGTAGCTTGGAGTTTGACATGAATATTATGCTTTAAATGTTCAATGTATGATTTGAGATTTATTGACTTTATTATAGTTTATGGGATCAGTTAATATTGAATTGGAATTTTTTAAATATAATTGAAAAGGATTTTCTAAATTACCCATGAAATGGAATGCTGAAATAGTGCAAAACAAAGTGATACCAAAGTGTCACTAAAGTATGGTGTTGCTTGAATGGAAAACATAATTATGTGATACCACGGTGTCACTAGAATATATGATGTAAAAGTGTCATCGAATAGTTATGTCACCTATGTATCACTAACTATTGATACCATAGTGTCACAATTTTGTGACACTTGTAGTGACACTTAAAAAGTGTCACTATTTCCCACTTTCATTGACACTTTTTTAGTGTCACAGAAACTTTCAGTGACACTAATTTGGTGTCACTGTAGGGCATTTTTCTAGTAGTGGCCTTATGTAGTGAATTAGTTATGAATGACTAAATATGATATAGACCCTATCTAGCGTGATATGTGGTAAGTCATAGGTCGGGTGGAGTACCCAAGGATCGGGCGGTTATCCTCAAAACTCGGTTATATAGGGTGGAGTACCCAAGGATCGGGCGGTATCCTCAAAACTCGGTTATATAGGGTGGAGTACCCAAGGATCGGGCGGTATCCTCAAAACTCGGTTATAGGGTGGAGTACCCAAGGATCGGGCGTGTATCCTCAAAACTCATAGATTACATTTAATGATCTAGGACCGGGCGGTGTCCTTATGATAATTTATTTGAACAGGGAGGAGTTCTATACACTCATAGGTATATGGGTGGGTTGGGATTTAAGTCAAGGACATTGGCTATTATTATTTTCCCAAATAAACAATGACCTACGGGTCGGGTATTTCCAAGTGTATGTGTACTAATATGTATTTCAAACTTGGGGGAAGGACTATACGTATATGTATCATCCTATGTTTGGGTCTTATACTTGAAACGCTAGTTATTCTATATTTAGCCTGCTACTCGCTCGGTACTTGTACTGACCCCTTCGGGGGGCCCCACCATTTTCAGGTTGAAGCTAGGGCTTGCTACCTGCACCTTTTTACGGGTGACATCAAATCAAGGAAGACGTGGTTCGTGCTTCCTCATTTTATTTCAAATTTCCAAACATTGCTCATGGATATTTTTATCTGTTATAAACTATTCTTTTGGGGCTTGCATGCCCATGTTATTGGCCGGTTGTGGCTTATGACTTACCGTTGAATATTTCCGCTATTCATTGGTTTAAATGTGATGTTGTTATGTATGTTTACTACTGAGTATGGATGGATTATTTTTCTCGAACGCCTTGTGTAATCAAGTGAGGTTGACTCGCGGGTGACGTCACTTGATTATACGGCGGTTGTACACGCGCTTGGATTGTGGTCTGGGGCGTGACAATTAAGTGGTATCAGAGCCATCTCAGTTCTAAACTTTATAATCAACCTCTCACATGAGATTTTACAAAAGAGTTTTTACCGAAAACCATGGGCATTGTATTTTGACGTTTATGGGACTATTGGAGCTTAAGTTGCAAGGCCTCTAATTGTTAAGACGGTACCCTTAACAATTGGTATGGTGGTGACTTGGGCCAATACGTGTCTGTAGCGTTCTTCCGTCAATTGACATTCACATTTATAGGAGTCTAATGACTCATCCATTTTCCTTTCAGAAATGGAGGGCAGGCGAATGCGGACCAGGAACAACCCGAGGGGGCAGGCGCCGGTAATATCCCAAAGGGGAAGCCGGGCTGCATCTCGGGGTTCAAGAGGAGGCCGTGGAGGCCGTGGAAGCCGTGGAGGTCATCAAGCTCAAACTGTGAGTGATGGCCATGTAAGCTCGGTGTATGAAACCAACACCGAGGACTATGACTCAACCTACGTTCCGGAAACGGAGCATGAGGAGACCCCGTATGATGGGGGTGACACATACACCGATGATGACGACGAAGAGAGTGATGCCAAGTTCGCTCAAATGGGCGAGTTGCTTGAGTGGTATCAAAAAGAAAAGCTGAGGAGAGACCTTAGGCGCCAAGCAAGGCGTGGCTCTCGTGGTGGTTCGGGTCAAGGGAGTCGGGGAGCTTCCGTGGCCACCCCAGCGGCGCCACAAGGTGGGCATGAAGGAGGTTTTGTGGTAAGAATCTCCAAATACCTCAAGGAGGCTAGGGCCTTGGGGTGTAGGTCCTTTGACGGCACCGGCGACATTACCGTTGCCGCCGATTGGATCAAGAAGGTGAAGGATGCATCGAGAGACATGCAGATTACTCCGGACGTGAAGCTAACTGTCGCTTCACGGCTACTTGAGGGGATGGCTTCTACATGGTGGGAAGGTGTAGAAGGGAAATACCGTGGGGACATCTCATGGGAAAATTTTGAGCAAGAATTTTATGCTCAGTACTACTCCGATTTCGAGGTTAATGTGAAAAGGAGGGAGTATACCAACCTCAAACAGAAAGAGGGTTGCACAGTTAAGCAACTGGAGCAAGAGTTCAGGACCTTGGCTAGGTTCTTACCGGAGTATGCGATCAATGAGGACCGCATGACTGAGCACTTCTGGGATGCCTTACTCTTGGACATCCGAGACCGTGCCACGTATTCCCGCCTCATGACCTTTAGTGAGGTGGTAGAACAGGGCATGCTTGGAGAGGCCCAGTGGAATGAGAGGAAGGCAAGGGACGCCGAAGAGGCGAAGAAGAGGAAGTGGAATAATTCGGGGCCACCCGATCATTCTCGAAGGAACAACCACGGGGGTGGTGGTGGTGGCGGTGGTTCATTCAAGGCGCCGGCTCCACCGGCGAAGAAGAATAGGGATGCGAGGTGGCACGGACCTAGGCCACAGAACTCGGGGCCACCTAGATGTCCCAATTGCTCAAAACAACACTTTGGGAAGTGCAATGAACCACCGAGGTGTTTTAAGTGCGGGAATGCGGGCCATATGAAGGCCAATTGCCCTCAGTTGATGCAAGAGAGTGCCTCGGGAGCTGGGGGAGGGACCATGACGGGAAGAAACCGTGCGGGCCCGTCAAACGGCGGTACGGGAAGAGGCAACGCATCCACAAGTCATGCCGCGTCCGTAAACCAAGGCGGGACCCAAGCACGAGTCTACGCGATGACCGAGGCGGATGCGAGAGCAAACCCGGACTCCGTTGCAGGTAATACGCGTATTCCCATGTATTTCTAGGTTTACTTTGATCATATACGTCGTTGGGATTGAGTGCGGGCCACCCCGGGGTCGAACCGGGTGAGTTAGGCCGAATCGGGCTGGAAACAGCCACTGCTGGCCAGGCACGCCCGCAGGCACGCCGTGCCTGGAATCGTGCCTGGAAGGCAGTGGCACCCGAAGGAAGAAAAAAAAAAAAAAAAAAAAAAAAAAAAAAAAAAATTGGCCAGGCACGCCGTGCCTGGCGTCGTGCCTGGAAGTCAGTGGCGTCCGAAAAAAATTTTTGGCCAGGCACGGCCGCAGGCACGCCGTGCCTGGCGTCGTGCCTGGAAGTCAGTGGCGTCCGAAAAAAATTTTGGCCAGGCACGGCCGCAGGCACGCCGTGCCTGGCGTCGTGCCTGGAAGTCAGTGGCGTCCGAAGAATTTTTGGCCAGGCACGGCCGCAGGCACGCCGTGCCTGGCGTCGTGCCCGGAAGTCAGTGGCGTCCGAAGAAATTTTGGCCAGGCACGGCCGCAGGCACGCCGTGCCTGGCATCGTGCCTGGCCGGCAGTAGCCAGCAGGGTGAGTTTGTTGCACGCACGGCCGTGCCTGCCACCCAGGCACGCCGTGCGTGGACCCCCAACACCCGAAAGTTGATTTTTTGCCCCGTTCTTCTACGTTTGGACCCCCGTTTGGTTCCAAACATTTGTATAAACCTAATAACATCCTAATGACGTGTAAAAACATTAGAAAATGTATCTTACATGGTGTATAAATGTAGGAACATTAAAGATCAATGGTAGATGTGCGAGGATCCTCATCGATACCGGGGCACAACGCTCATTTGTGAGTGAGGCGTTCGCCGAGGGCTTTGACGTGCCATTGACACCTATGACTCAAACGTTGCTAGTCTCCACACCGTTAGGAGACGACGTGGAGAGAAATCATTACTATCCGTCGTGTGAGGTAGAAGTGACGGGTCAACCTTTGACTTGTGATTTCGTACCTCTAAGCATGTTGGAGTTCGATGCAATCCTAGGGATGGATTGGCTCGAGAAACACCATGCCCGGGTAGATTGCTACACCAAGGTGTTGGAGCTCGAGGATGATCAAGGGAACACGCTATGTTTCGAGGGAGATCGGGGGAAATCTAATGCTTGTATCATATCCGTGATGAGAGCACGAAAGATGATGAGGAAGGGATGTCACGCATACCTTGCTTATGTGGTAGATGATACGAAGAAAGAAGTCGACATCAAGGATGTACGGGTCGTGTGCAAGTACCCGGATGTCTTTCCCAAAGACCTACCGGGGCTTCCACCCGATAGAGAGATTGAATTTGTAATTGAAGTGGAGCCGGGAACCAAACCCATTTCGATTCCTCCTTATCGAATGGCACCGGCCGAACTTCAAGAGTTGAAGGTCCAACTACAAGAATTATTGGACAACGGATTCATCAGACCCAGTCATTCACCGTGGGGGGCACCCGTACTCTTCGTGAAGAAGAAGGATGGTACACTAAGAATGTGTATTGACTACCGACAATTGAACAAGGTCACAATCAAGAACAGGTATCCCTTACCGAGGATTGATGACTTGTTTGACCAACTTCGGGGGGCAATAGTGTTCTCGAAGATTGATTTGAGGTCGGGGTATCATCAGTTGAAGATCAAGGAGAGCGACATACCTAAGAGTGCATTCCGCACTAGGTATGGTCATTATGAGTTCCTTGTAATGTCATTCG